TCTCTGACCTCCTCCCCTCTGCGGGCAAGCTGGAGACTTGTGGCCTAGCTGACCACACTTGTAACATGTAACGTCTCCCTGACTGCCTCTCCCGAGCCTGCACTCGACACTGGAAAGATCGATCTAGCAAATGCACCCTGGGACTGCTGAGGGTTAGAGCCCCTCTACCTCCTACCGTCCCCCTGACCATCCTGACTCCTCTTGGAGCCCCTCATCCTTTTATCCTCCTCCTGCATCATAATCTCCATATGGGCCGCAGCATCCACAATGAGCCTATACTCCCGGGTCATAGACCCCCCAACTCTCATCTTGAAACCATGCCTCAACTTCTTCTCAAATTCTAGACAACAGTGTTCTTCAGACGCCACAAACTCAGGTGCAAACCTGGATAAACTAGTAAATGCGGCCTCAAACTCGACCATTGAAGAACTCAGCTGCTTAAGCTGACAAAACTAGTCCCTCAGCTTCTCCCTAACAGCTGGAGATAAGAACTTCTCCTGGAAAACATCTACAAAGGCCTCCCATGTGCCACCAATACGACCCCTCATGAACTTCCACCACTGACCCGTATCCCCCTTATGCTGGAAAGATGTCAAGGTCACCTTCAATTCCCCGTCTTCGATGCCAAGCATTTCAAACGTCTTAGTCATCTGTTCCAACCACTCATCAGCCTTAAGTGACTCTTTCGGATCACCGACAAACTCATCGGGATTTGACCAGAAAAACTCCCTCTTTAAAAAAGAAGGCCCTGCATCAACAACCTAGGCTGGGACTTGATTCTCAACTCTGAGAATGCCCATGGATTCCCTCAAAGCTCTTGTTATCTCGCGGGCTAAGGCACCCATGGCCTACTGACCTACTGGTTCGGCCACATTGGCTTGACCAACCCTTTCCTGCTGCGCCGGAATCTCATCCGGTATAGGCATCTTCTGCCTACCATGCCTACCACCTCGTCCTCGTCCTGACATCCTAATTAAGGTAACGAAGACATTAGCACATTCAAAAATGTGTCGAAGCTATAACACTCGCGTCGTAATACATTGGACAACTGTAATTCATTCCACGTAAACACATAATCACATAAGCACCTACGAATTTCATTTCTGGATAATGATAGTCCCGAGGCGTTACTAAAGTTCCGGTTAGAAACAACATTGATCAAGTGATTTTCCAACAAGACTCACAGAAACCCAAGGATCCAATCAACATCCTAGAAACTAAATCCCATACCCAAATAGTCACATAAACATGTCATCAAATAAACACATAATGTCATACATAAGTCTCTAACAAGCGAGACAAACCCATTATGGTACTAACCACTTTCCACGTACCCAAAGTATTCAAACCCGGTATGCTCTGATACCAAGTTGTAACGCCTTCGAAATAAACCCATAAATCACACAATCTTGATATGCTTAGACATAAGAAAATAAAGCATAATTTCATTCATCAGAGTATTCATTACAAAAGTATTACATATTGACATCAAAAGTAAATGCCCTACGGGCTTACAACTTTCTAAGTCAACACTTGGTTACAAAAAGAGAGTACTAACTCAAAACACAAAATAAGTCATTGGCTTGATTTACATGTAATATACAAAAATAAGCAAGAGCCTTTAACTGCCACAACCATCCAAGCTAAGACCTCGGAGGCGGCATAATAACTGAACCTGAAAATGATATCCATATAGAGTGAGCCAACGCCCAGTAGAGATATGCTAAACATAATATGAGCAATAACTAAAACATTAGCATTCGATAAATGTTTAACTCATATATACCAACTTATAACACATTTCAATTTCATGACAAATATGTCCATGTTTCATTCCATTTTCTATTACTTATCCAGTTCTCAATTTATGAATAAGGCTCAGAACCTAGCCAATAATTTAATGAGACTATAACTCATATCAAAACACTTCTATAATTCACAATAGATACACATACTTGTTGTATCAATACCACATCAAAACACTTCCATGCTTCATAAATGATACACAGATTCGCTGTATCAATAACACATTAAAACACTTTCATACTTCATATATGATACACAGATTTGCTGTATCAATGGAGTTCATCTCCTATTATCTCCCAAATAAAATCCGGTTTAGGAGTCTATCCCCTATCTTTCCCTAAACCGTGGAGTACATCTCCTATCTCCTCCCACACAACACAATGCATATAAACAACAATCATATACATGTTCAATCAATACACAAATTCAATGTATTATTCCAATTGTCATATTCGATGACATATTCAATTGATTAGTTCTGGTTTGCCTAATCATCATGCATTGTCTACAACAATCAAGACTATCCTCCACCAATAGCCCAAAGCAATTTATTTTTAAACAGATAATAAATGCATTAATAGATAATTTGACAACAATTTCATAAGTGAGCGATTAATAAATCCAACCCCACCATTCCCTCTTATAATGGGCTAATTTCATTATTTCCAACTCAATTCCATATTTCCATAACATTCCCAAATTAATTATATAAATTAATTCATACAACAATTTAGGGCTTTCTCCCCATTTTCCTCTACAATGACCCAAAGGTCTCATATATCATCAACAACATCAATACCATCATTTTAAGACCCAAGATACACATTTATGAGTCAAAATAACCAAACCCCTCTTTATTCATTTTGAAACCCTAACACCCAAAATTACCCAACTTCAACATTACATCAAAATGACCAATAGTTTATGTCAAAGGCCATAAAAATGAGTAGTTATCCCTACCTCAAATTCGGAGCTCAAAGGAGAAGATGAAAAAATTTGAAAGTGTTCCAAACCCCAATATTTTCGGATCAAAATGTAGCCCTTAACAAGCTCCACACTTTTTACAAAGGCCCAAGGATAGAAGACCACTCATACTAGATCAAACTCTAGAGAGAAGTTGGAGTTTTAGAGTAAGGTGCTCTCCAATGAAGGTTTTGAAAAAGTAAGAGAGAGAAAGAAAGTCAAAAAGTGATCCAAAATGTCACTTTTCGGACTGATATAAAGTCGCCCCGCTCGAGCGTGGAACTCCCCGCTCGAGCGTCAGACACAAACTCACGCTCGAGCGTGAAAAGCGCCGCTCGAGCGTCGATTGCACACTTCCAGAAGTTTTGTAGACCATGGTCCCCGCTCGAGCGGAGGAACAAAATCGAAAGGGCTCGCTCGAGCGTCAAAACTCTCACTCGAGCGTACGATAACTTGCAGAGAAAATACTGGGAGATGAATATTCACGCTCGAGCGTCAAAACGCCCGCTCGAGCGTGAAGGCCAAAATCTGGGCATCAACTTTTGATTTCTAAACACAACCAATCTCTTCCAAACCTGCCCAACACAACCCAAGACTCAAATACAAAGAGTAAAGGATGAAAATGAGAATAAGATAACAACATAACCACGGAACCAAGTCCGGAATACAATAAACAAAGGAAGGGAAAATCGGGATCGCTATAGTTGAAAAAGATACTCCTTTAGGCTTTGGGCCACTTCGATCAACCTATTGCTAGCTCCATCATAACTAAGGGCAAGAAGGAAGTGCGCAAGTAAGGAGAAGTATAGGGCATGTTGACGATAACCTTGCCGGAGAAGGTCACCCCTGTCCCCAATACTCGAAAAGCGATAAATCAAACCGAGAATATCTACCTCCCCGTCGTGGGCCAGAGATCGAGTCTCATGCAAAGTAAGCCCACACATCTGTTCCAAAACCTTTGGATGGCCAAAGCAAGGCTGGGGCACAATTTTCTCATCACGCCCGGACTCCATCAAAGCTTGAAATTCTTTGAGTGTGGGGCACATTTCTTGGGCCCTGAAGCAAAAGACGTGTGTTACAGGGTTCTAACATTGAACATCGGCATGGAGGAACAGGAAACAAAGCGAAGTACGACTCAAAGGAAACATAGCATTTATGCCACAATCGCGAAAAGTCACCTTTTCCAAGCTGTCCAAAGTGGTTATCCAGTCTCGGAGCCTATTGTTGAGTAAAATCTCCATCTTTAGAGCAAAGTATTAAAGACATGCTATTTTGCCAGAAAAAACAACATAGGAGCACTTTTTATAAAGTTTGAGAAGAGGCAGTGCATGACAGCTGGACCATATCCACTGACATCTTTTTTTGGACCGGATGTGCCTTATTGGGGCCCGACTGTGTCTATTTGGACTAGGCCGGGTCTAAATATTTGCCCAAGTCAGAGCAATTGTAGAAGAAGGCTGGCTCTTGCCTTGGTTCACCGTGATTGTATTTTGAGTTTTGCTTTGTTTGCATCGAATGTTATTAGTGTGTTTTAGGTTATTTTTATTTCTTTTTTTTGTTATCGAGTTATATTTTATATTTTGTCCAATTGTAAGTATCTAATTCAAGAATAAATTCAAAGAAAGTATTATTGTGAAGTATTGTTACGCAACGGTCAAATTTTTTCTTTTCATAAATCGGTGCGTATATTTAATAAAAATATTAATAAAACATTTAGGTCTTATTTGGTTTGTTTTTCAAAAAAAATTTTAGAAAAAATTCTGTATTAACAAGTTTTCAAGAGTAATCAAATCAAACAAATTTTTTCAAAAAAAATCTCAAAATTTTGTTTGGTTACATACTTTTCAAAATCACACACTCTCTCATACACATCAAATTAATCATTTTTTTTAAAACTCTCTCTCCAAAACAATTTTTCAAAACTATTTCTGAAAAAAATAAACCAAACAAATTTTCGTACTTTTTATTTAAAAAACTACTCTACAAACACAAATCAAACACAGCCTTAGAATTCTTAACATTTTATATATAATTTTTTTATTGATAGCGTTATTCACTCTTTAATATTGTTCCCAAACTTCTCCCAAGCCTATTTAGGCCAAGTTTGGAAAGTCCCAAATAATCCATTTTTTTATTTATTTATTTTTTTTCATCACATCACCTCTCTATTTTTCTACACATCTTTTTATAAAAAAAATAAAAAATACGATTATTTAGTTCACCGATCAACCCTCAGAAGTGTCGCTCCAACTGCATAAATCTCATTCACCAACTCCAAAAAAAACCCAAAAGGTCAGAGACAGAGAGACCCGATCGAAGTAAAATGGGTTCGTCGAGTGCTATGCGAGAGCTGCAGCGAGAACTCGAGTCCAAAGGCAACGATCTCAGCAAACTCCAGAAAGGCAACTCTCTCTTTCTCTCATCCTCGTCCTCCAATCTAACCCTAACCCTAATTCAACCTCTTTTTCTTTTTCTTTTTCTTTTTTTTGTGTGTTTTTTTTAAACAGATATCGCAAAGAACCATCAGGTCAGAAAGAAGTACACCATCCAGCTCGGCGAAAACGAGCTTGTCCTCAAGGTCTCCCTGTCTCTCTCGCTCTCTCTCTCTCTCTCTCTCTCTATATATATATATATATATATTAAAATATATAACTCATTTGATTGTGATTATGGTTTGTGATCATTGGGGTTGTTATTGAAGGAGCTGGATTTGTTGAATGAAGATGCGAATGTGTACAAATTGATAGGACCTGTACTCGTGAAGCAGGATTTAGCAGAGGCCAATGCGAATGTCCGCAAGCGAATTGATTACATTTCTGCTGAATTGTATGTTTCTTTCTTTCTTTTCTTTTTTTTTTTCTTTTTTTCCTTACCTTTCTTCACGGATTTCGTTTTTAGTTCTTGCCAATTCGGAATTCTTGTTTATGCAATTATAGGCATGTTGAATTCCTGCCTAAGTCTTTATCTATGAAGCGCGGGTGCGGGTGCGGGTGCGGGTGCGATATGAGTATGTCGATACGGCAAATTCTTAAAAAAGTACGGTACGGGTACGGATACGGATACGTTATTTTTTTTTTAAAAAATTTATTTTTTTTAAAAAAAATTTATAGTTAAGCATCCAACATATAAATCAAAGTTTCAATTTCAAAATTAAAAAGAGAACAGCATGTCTAAAAAGTTATATAATTTTTTCGTTTTCTTTTTTGATTATTTAAAATATGATACAAAAGAGAAAAATCATGACTCATGGGTAAAGGGTTTTGGAAATAAATTACTTAATATTTTCAAAATTGAAAGAAGAATAATAAGGACTGCAATAAATTCTAGCTAATAAAGGTTGCAATAAAGGCTTTAACATTTTCAAAACTCTCTGTACCCATGCCGTACACACGATGTACTCATGCTGTACCTAAATGTATTTGTCATACCCAGCATGTATTCGGCGTATCCGGTATGCGTATCTACACCCACTAAGGTGGTCGTACGACACCATTTTTGTAGTACCCGTGCTTTATAGGTCTCAATTTGTCGGTTTTTAATTTTTAATTTTTTTAAAAATTGTCATTGTTTAATTGGTTGGGGGTATAATTTTAGTGAAAACACGATTTGATTCGCAGATCCTTAATGATGATTTATTGAAATTTCTAGCAGTTTTGAGATGACCCTTTTTCGTATTATGCTGTGTTTGATTTATGGATTTGGGAAGGGATTTGAAAAGGGAAAGGAAAAGGTAGGTGAAATGTTTGTGAAATATAACTACATTTCACGTGCATTCCCTTTCCCCTTCCAAATTCCTTCCCAAATTTATTAACCAAGCACATTTCCCCTTCCAAATTCCTTTCCAAATTTATTAACCAAGCACAACCTTACTGTCAGAGAATGGGAATGGTGTAGTTGAACCCAAAATTGAAGGGAATTATTTGGTATTTGGGAATCTTAATAATGCTCTATTGATGAAATTTATGCTACTTAATTGTTTGAATGTAGAAAAGAACTACAATGCAATGGGGTCGACAAATTGAACAAGAAATACAGTGGAGAAATTTCTAGTGTATCAATAGAGAAACCTATATTACAAAACAATTTGTCATTGCTGTTTGTTGTGATGGATAGATGGGTGTAGATGCTTTGTAAATTTAAAAATCCTCCTTTTCAATTTCCCCCCCTTTTTTCTTGATGTATTTTTTGTTGTTTTTCCCAACATTTGTTTGTTATTATATATCCCATTTCATGATCTTTCATGTTTTATTTTCCTTATTTTGTTCTGAGGACCCTTGCAATTTCACTAAAATTTCACTCCGGTCTTTCAGCTTTCACCAAAATCCCACTTGACCACTCTACTTTTAATTGTGCCTTAATAAAAATGTCATGTTTGGCTCATATGCCAATTTCTATTAGCCTCACGCCATATAGACAGAAGGGTGACATTGTAATTTAACTTAATAATCACAATTAAAAGTATAGGGATACTAAGGCCAAGTTTGGCAACTCTTAAAAAATCCAAAAAGTCAAAAAGTTACTATCCTATTTAAATTACATCATCTTATTTAAGTCACATCACCTCTCTAACACATCACTTCAAACCCAATCCAAACCCAACCCATATTTCATAAAAAGTCAAAAAGTACATTTATTTAGTCTTTCCAAACTTGGCCTAAGTGTAATTAACCCTATATAGTTTTTTATTTGTAATGTTTACAATTATTAGCATGACTATCTCAAAGGATAAAAAATTTGGAAATTGTGTAATTAAGTCTTGTTTGGTTTATATTGTTTTTTCTAAAAATTGAGTTTTTTGATTTTCAATTTTTTTTTTTTTTGTTTTTAGTGAATTTTTAAAAATATTGTATGCAAATTATTTATTTTTTTAGATACATCTAATCTAGATATACTTAAAAAATATATTTGTGGGATTTTTTTTAAAAAAATTTACTAAATACAAAAAAGAAAAGAAAAAATGAAAATTCATTATATTTTCATATTTTATTGTATTCAATGAATTTTTTAAGGACTTTTGTACAAATTTTATACTTTTTAAGTGTATCCTTTTTTTTTTTGGATTGGCACCTGTAGGGGTGTTCACGGGTCGGCCGGGGTTGGGTTCACCCCTAACCCGTCCACCGAATTGAACATGTCGGGTTTGAAAAATGATCACCCACCATTGACTGTTACAACGTTCGAAATTGACCGAGCCAAACTATTTGGTTTGGCGGTCAGATCAGACGGGTGATTCACGCATCCATTTCCTTACCTTTCAGCCTCTCTTAGCATGTAACAAACATCCAAATCAAAGATGTATACAACTCACATTTATATAATGATAATGATTCAATCCAAATACCATCCTCATACAACTAGATTAGAGATATAGAATCGAAAGAAAAAAGAAAACAAAATAGAGGGAAAAGGCACTCCACAATTGCAAATATCAAATTGTAAAGAATGAGTTCTGCGGCTGGACATTACTTTAGAGAGATAAAAAGATAAAGCTTTTTGTGTGAAATTCCACCAGTCATCTTCATCTTCATCAATCTATGTACTTTGCCACAAGGGTTTTGGTAGACTTGAAAAATTAAGAAAATGGTACAAAGAGAGAGATGGTTGAGTGAGAGGAAGAGGGAGACGAGAAAGTGAAAGAATGAAAGAGAAGAGAGTCGAAAGGGTTTGTGATAGAGAGAAGAAAGGAGCGAGAGAAGAGAGGAGAGACGAAGGAGTAATGATAGGGTGGGAAAAGACAAAGGGTCTGTGAGAGAGAAATGAGAAGGTCAGATAGAGACAAAAACAGATGGGGAAGGGAAGAGAGAGAGAGAGACATTAAGATGAGAGATGGAGAGAGACGATTGAACTATGAGGGGGTTGCATCATGTGGGAAGTAAAGAGACTTTCTCTTGGAAAATAAATAAAGTTTTGAATTAAAAAGTTGAAATAACTATTATTGAGGGAAGTGTACAGTCCTTGTCTTGGGAAGGCAAAGTTCAATTTATCAAGAAAGGGAGAAGCATCGCATGGCCTGTAACGATCAATATAAATAAATATATATATAATATATATAATTCATACAGGTCGAGCTAGATGGAAAATCTTCAATTAAATTCGATGACCGATCAAAATCTGAATGGATTTCATGACTTCCAACTGTTGCCGACTAAGATAATGAAGAAACCGTCCATAGTGTGCTCGGGTTGAGCGGTTTTGGTTGGATTCGTTGGGTGGTTTGGATTTCTGAACACCCCTAGGCACTGGGGTGTCCGGATCAAAGCCCGACTCTAGAGGTGCATAGGCCCTTGGTCAGGAGTTTCCCGCAAATGCACTATGGTGATTTCAAGGGTGTTCCCTTAGTCCGATAGTCTCTAAGAATTGTTAACACGTAAGAAGTGTCAATTCCTGAATCCTGGAGGGAGCACACCCCCAAGACTCAAGGCCTTGCCACTAGGCCAACCCTAGATTTATACTTTTTAAGTATATCAAGATTAAGTGGACCTAAAAAGTAAAAAAAATTGATTAAAATATTTGAAAAAATCACTAAAAATATAAAAATATAATTTGAAAACTCAGAAAAACTGTTTTTGGAAACTCCAAACCAAAAATTTCTCTGTTTTTTTTTTTCCCCTTCATAATTTCATATTCAATATGGATATTGTTTAATATATCTCAACGAATAAGTTCCAAAATATATATATTTTTTTCGTGTACATTGAAAGTTGAATATGATATTTAAAAGTATGAAAAAAGAACCACTTGACATGTCAGCAATGCCACTCATGCTGGTGCAATTATATTCAAGGGTAAAATTGTCTGAAAATGAGATGGCAATTTAAAAAAATGTTATGCTCACAAACATTATTATGTGTGGGACTTAACTAGTTGATGAACTTGTAATGGAACATATCCTTATATGAGTACATGTTGGTGGGATTTTACACTAATAAACCCCATTTATGGCCTTAATGTAATAAATTCACACACATATTTGTCGTGGTATCCAGATTTAGGGTGTTTCTTGTGTCCAATACCTCATTTCCATGCCCCGTCTATTGGATTATTATTATGGTTATCGTCATTGTTTTAAAATTTGGTGGAAGCTTTTAGATTGGGCATTGAAATATAAATTTCTATGTTTGTTGGGCTGAGATACAACACGTGCCATAAAATAGTATACTTTTGTGTACTTGCTTTTTATCTATAATGTATGTTTGCATTCCCTTGGTAGTGGCTTCATCCTTTTTACCTATAATTTAAGCACTCATGTAATAAACCATGTATGATGTATCTCTTTTCACATTCTCTTCTCTTCCTCTTTATTTCTCTTCGCCTTCCTCTTTTATTTTACTTATGTTCTTGGTGCTTGGTATATTCTATGTGAATATAAATTGTGTTTCTGTACAACATAAGTATGTTTGCAGTACATATGTTGGTGGAAACTTTTAGATTGGGCATTGAAATATAAATTGCTATATGCTTATTGGGTTGAGTTGAGATACAACACATGCCATAAAATAGAATACTTTTGTGTACTTATTTTTTATCTACGATGTATGTTTGCATTACCTTGGTAGTGACTTCATTCGTTTTAACTATAATTTAAGCACTTATGTAATAAACCATGTATCCGTTTTCATATTCTCCTCCTCTTCCTCTTTATTACTCTTCTCCTTCCACTTCTATTGTACTTATTGTTCTTGGTGCTTTGGTATATTCTATGTGAATATAAATTGTGTTTCCATACAATAGGAAACGTTTGGATGCAACTCTACAAGATCTAGAAGAAAAACAAAATAGTAAGAAAGATGCGGTTAGTATCATTTCCTCTCTTTACATGTTATAATTTTCATTCTCATTATATCCATGCCACTTCATGTAGTCTTCAATTATGATCAACTAGGTTATAATTTTTCATGGCTTTTGGTAGTTGATGTTGATGCTAATGCTAATGCTAATGCTAACTCTATAAAAGTTGTGGCATTGTTTGGTTAGCATTGCGATACAACACTTTTGCTTTTGGGAAAATAATGGCCTTGTTTGATTTGTTTTTCAGGAGAGAAAAATTTTTGGGAAAAATTCTCTACAAACAAATTTTCAAGAATAATCAATCCAAACAAATTTTTCCAAAAAAAATCTCAAAATTTTATTTGGTTACCTACTTTCCAAAATCACTCTCTCTCTCATACACATCAAATCAATCACTTTTTTAAAACTCTCTCCCCAAAACAATTTTTCAAAACCATTTCTGAAAAAAGGCAAATCAAACAAGTTTTCGTACTTTTTATTTCAAAAACTACTCTACAAACACAAACCAAACACACCCAATGTTTTCGATATTCAACAATTATGTTTACCTGAACCACCTAAAATTTGGAAAGAAATTTTTAGTTAGACTTGTCTAATTTCAAGGAAAGAAATGGACCCACTAATAGAAAATTGGGAAATTTCACTTAAAACTTGTCTAATTTCAAAGGAAAGAAACGGACCCACAAATAGAAAATTGGGAAATTTCACTTTGCCTTCTCAAATTACTACACTTGTGTCACTTTGCCCTCTGAACTCTCAATTTTAACAAAGGAAAATTACATAAAAGACTGAAAAGTATGAGCCCTGTCACAAATTAAATCTTGAATTTTTAATGTTTTCAAATTAAACCCTGAACTCATAAATTGATATCAATTTAATTCATCAATCCATCTATGTTAAAGACACTAACGAAGGGAGGATAATATTGTCATTTTGCACCCTCTTCTTCCTTTGATCTTTTTCCAATTGGAGTGCTTGCAAAAGCAAATGGCCGGGTCTCATGATCCTCGGGATTTTTAGAGACAATTCGAAAAATATCAAAAATTGTATTCCTAAAACATTGTGTCAACCCTTGCAACATCGAAACATTATTTTGGGTATATTGATACTTATACCTATATACTAGTATATATGGTTGGTGCTACGCATGATGTTGCCATGGCAGTGGTAGAGCTGTAGTCTTAGGTAGATACTATATATACTCCGTGCTACACATGATGTTGCCATGCCAGTGGTAGAGCTATAGCCTTGTGGCATGTAATATTAATACACATGTATAAGAATCAATAATAATATTATGATGATCATATTGTTTTCATAATGTTTTGTTTACCATCTCATGTATCAACACTGTATTGGTGGTAAACAAAATATCATATGGGCATCCTAGCATTATTGGTATTTGACGTCATCCCCATCTTTTTGTAGTATAGCACTAGCAGTCCTCTGTGAGTGCAGCACACACCCTCCTAAGAATATGGCAAATGTTAACGAGTGCTCTTGGGGCACTTGTTAATTTGTAATTAATTATTTATTACATATTAAGAAGTTAGTGAATTAATATATTGATTTTTATTATCATTAAATAAGTTATTAAATGTGAGGTTTTCAACTACTTATAGTAATTGTAGTAGTTATTAAATTATTGACTATCAAATATGCCCTTGTTTGAAGCCATGATAAATACATAAATAAAAATAATAATATTGAAAATGGTCTTGCCATATATTTAGATTTAACGTACTTTGAATTAATTACATTGTAATTAAAGACATAATTTTTTAAAATTAAATGGATTTCATTTAGTACAACATGGTATAAGCTTTTTTGAGGGCTACTATATATAACCTAAATATTTCACCAAAAATTTTCGCTTCTTATTTGATTTCGCATGTGATATGACGGGTTTCGTCATTTTTTAAATATGATGGGCCCACATATACATATGGTATTTATTGCATGAATACACATATGAGGCGAGTTAAAGGGGTGAAATTATATGCGGTGTTAAATAACATTTCTCAGCTACTTAGTTGATTTATCATTTTACTTGTGTATTCATCATGACTCCAACCAAATTTATATATGGTAGCAAAAGAAATTATTTAGTAAATAGTTGAAAACTTTGCATTTAATAGCTTATTTAATGATAAAAAATTTATTTATCAATTCACTCCGTTTTTAGTATAAATAGATTTACTAATTACACCTTAACAAGTGTCTCAAGAGTACTTATTAGCATTTGCCTTTAGAAACCAAATAAATTTCTAACATATATAAACATATATGTTAGAAACTTTGAACATATAAATTAGTTATTTCTTAACAAGTGCCCAACTCACTTGTTAGCAGGACCCTAAAAATAATTCCAAAGATGATAAAACATTTACAATAATGGATGAAATGAATACATAAGAAACTCAGAAATAGTTTACCAATAATGCTATGATGATCATATTTGTGTATCATAATTTGTTTATCATCTCATGTGTCAGCATTGCATTAGTCTAAAGAGTCCCCATCACTTATGTTTTTGTCTAATGCAATTGTGATACATGAGATGATAAATAAATTATGATATAAAAATAAGGTCATCATAACATTGTTGATATGTTACCAAAAAACAATCACGGTGCAGGAGGTCTGAATACTGCCATGCAGAAATCAGCAAGAATCTAAAACTGTCAAAGTAGTAAATTCATGAAACCAAAATTGTCAAAATTTTGTAAAGAACCTAAAATATAAAAACATTACAAGCACAAGAGAAGTTATAATATTCCCAATGAAGAAAGGACAAGAAAGTAGTTACACTCTAACAATAAATGTGATATTCTAAGTAAGGTCAACTGAATGGTGAATGCCCCAAAAGCTCTGATTGTTCCTTGTTTTAAAGCACAAAAAGGTAGGGCAATTGTGGAAGAAAATAGCAAAATAGAAGCGATGCACTTCAGCAAATCGTAAGAGCCTCTTATAGTAGTGTAGATAAGTATATATATTGATATATACCTATATGTATTTATTCGCTCACACAACTTGATGACAGTGGTGACTTGAAGAATGACAATTACCTTATTGTCAGTGTGACATTGTGCACCCAAGCATCCTACATTGACCCTGGATCAATGATGGATCGATGAAGGGAATCGAATGAGAAGGGGTGATGTTGGTGAATTGAAGTGTGAGGGACTGTCATGTGGTAAAGGGGGAAGAGAGAGTAGGGGTAGCGGTGGTAGAGGGGCAGACAAAGGCTAGGGGTAGCGTTGTTGGAGGGGGAGAGACGGTGGGATTGGTGCTGGGGGTTGAAGACTATTCTTCTCATCTTCTCAATGGAGGAGACAATTTTGGTAAAGGTTTGGTGGAGGTTGAGAGGGCGGCTGTGGTGGGAGGGTTAAGTGGAGGTGGGAGAGGGAGAGGGCAACCACTAGCTGTGAGATGTGGGAAAGGCAGAGGTGAGTGATCAAATTCAAATGTGTTAATGCGGATGGTTTTGATTTGTTGGATGATTGATAAGTTGGGATTGTAATTGGTATGGTCAATCTTAGTTATGGGATATACATTAAGTTAAAAGAGTAAAAGATACTTTGTCACATGTACTACAATTTTTTTTCTCTGTTAGACAATATAGTAAAGATGGACGAATGTCTAAGATTGTGTGCTATTTAAAAAATGGTAGTTTTTTTGAAATTTTTTGAAACTTAGGATTGAATTTGTTACAAGGGTGAAACCTTGGGGTTATGTAATTTTCCCTTTAACAATTAACATCTTAAATTAATGAAATTGCTTCACTTTGCCCCAAATCATTAACGATGTTACAACAATTTGATTGAAAACTTCATTTTGACCCCCAAACTATCACATTTGTGTCACTTTATCCCCTTAACTATCAAGTTTAACAATTAAAACCTTAAACTATTGAAATTAATTCATTTGCCCTTGAATCATTAACGATGTTACATATTTTTATGGAAGACTGTATAAACTGGCCACATTTGATAGTGTGAGGGCCGTTAGAGAGAAAAAAGAGTAATGTGTTCTCTTTTCTTTCAAGCTTTTGCAATTGTCCTACTTTTCTCACTCCCTTTTCTGTTTTTCCCTGAAACTTGGTTTGCTATTTGACCATTAAAAGGTAAAGAAAATGAGGTTTAATTGGCCTTCTTGAGAAAGAGAGGTTTCTTTGGAAGATATTGTTGCTAGTTTGAACAGGCTTTCGAATCTTCATGCTGATAAAAAATTGATCTTTTATATAAAAGACATTTATAGGAAGGACTATAATATCCTGTCACTTCATAGAAAATTAAGTTAATTTTATATTTTTAAAAGAGAATTAATAAAAATATTATAGTACTAAAATTTCGTTTATCAAGCTATGTATACTTCAATTACTGGTTTCATTCAAATTTGAAAATTTCAATTAGACATATTCTTTCCTTGATTTTGACCGATTAATAGAAATTTTGATTTTAATATTGATTTGATGGAACTTGCTAGAAATTGCAAAAGATGTGCAAGTTTATTGTCAATGTCATGATGCATCTGTACAACAATTAAATTAGCTTATGGTGTATATCTCTTTGCATAGAGGTGTATATATACATCAATAGGTACAATCTACAAACAGTCTCACTCCTGTCATCCCTAACTATAACTATTTCCTATGTTTGTTATGTTCCATCATTATTAAAATATACACTTATAGTCTTCCTAAAGGTTATAGGTACAAACAAGTAATCTCTCACTCCCCTCTTCCCCAACTATTTCCTACGTACTTGTTTTGTTCCATTGTTATTAATACTAGAGCGATTCTATGCACACGATGAATGTGTGAAACATGGTAGGACATGTGGCTGAGGGAGAGTAGGATATTTGATTATTTTGGAATGTGGTTTTCTTACGTTTTTGCCCAAACAATTACTAATGGGAATAGTTTAAACAATTGTAAAAATATATTTTTATTTGAATAATTTTGACAAAAGAATTAGCAATACACAACCTCATTTTTGTGTCCAACTGAGGTTTTCACTTTATAATATATAGTATAGATAGCATAGATATACACCTATACAAAGGCAAAGATTACTTGTTTGTGCCTATAGCATTTGTTGTGCTCCTCATTTTTAGTTTTTTCTTTTGACATCTTTAGGTCATATCAAAGGAGAAGTTTTAAAATTACCTATTAAAATAAATCTTTCAAATTACAAACCCGTAAGCTAAGAAGCCCGGACACTTTTAATGAAGGTCTTATATACAAGAATGCAAAATTTGTAAATAGTGCAAATAATGTGGGCTATTACTTTAATTGCTTCCATTTTTTCATAATATTTTGCAGATTTTAAAGTTGCAGCAAAGAATTCAATCTCTCCAGACCGGAAAAGCAAAGGCATAAATGCCCTCTACTGGTTTGTGTCTTGCCTAGTTAGTAACATCTGTGCTTTTGATCTCTGTTTTTTGAGCAAAACTACTATTCTAGTCACCAACCCCTACCATTTTGTTTGTGGATTTTGATGATTGGTTCTTGCAAGGAAAATGTGTGTTTTTATTTTTTTTTTTTTTGACAACATTTTGTGCGAGATATGTCAAAGTTTAGGTTGTATTGTATGGAGTGCATCCTTCCTACGCATCCGAGTCGGTGGACCAATACGTGTAATGAGTTATCCTTGTATCTGATATATGTAGATCGTTACAAAAAATGTTGGCCATCAGTTGTTACAATTTATACTGCTTAAGTTGAACAAGTGTCTATGCTATCTGGAAAAAATAAAAGAGTTGGACTAGTGTCTAGGGCCTGTTTGGTATAGCTTCTAGCAAGCTAAAAGCTGGTGTAGGTGTTATGAGCTGCTCCTATAGCTTTTTTTATTCTTATTTAAAAAAATAATTATTTTTTTGGAGTACGTGTGTCAAATTGTTTTGTGCAATTTCTACAGACATAGTTTGTATAAGTTGAAATACACTGATTATTCAGAAGTTGGGATAAGGGGGCGTTTAATTTTTAATTTTTAATTTTTTTTTTATTATTCTTATCAGCACCAAACAAGCCCAAAAGCACCCTCATGCATATCCATAATGATTTTTTTTAAAACTTTTTAAAGTTATTTTTGTGTCATAGAACATCAAACCTGTGTACAAATTTAAAAAAGAAAAAAATAGGAAGCTATAAGTCCGAAAGTTGTGGATTCCCTCATGTTCTTTCATGATGGAAGCCATTATATTGGTGAATGGGCCAATCTTTGGATTTTGGCTCTCTAGTTTTCTGTATGTCTCTGCTGGTTTTGGGTTTGCATTGCATTTCATTTCATTTGTTTTCTTTTTTTGGCTTGCAACTCCACACACACAAACACAAGCACAAGGCATGTTTTGTTGATTTAAGAGCATCCCTAGTAGGGTAGTATTTTGTGTTTTTTAAGCACAGTAAAAGTATATTTTTTACAGATTTGTTACAAATTATTCTAATATTTTGTTAAATTGTTACAAATCCTTCATTAATTTTTTTTGTCAAAATTAAAATTTGATGAAAATTGGTTTAAAGTGTGTTTTATTTTATCAATTTTGTATTAAATCAATGGTGAGGTAATTTTTTCACCAAATCAAAGATTAACTAAATCCTTTACCAAATTTTCAATAGTTTTTCACATCAATAATAGTTAGGGGTGGACAATTGTCGGACCGGATTGATATTATATAATAAGAGACTTTATATTTGTCCAAATTTGGTCTAGTTTGGCTTGACCCGATCTTAATATCAGGTCTCTATATTTGTCCAAGCTCGGTCTAAAAAATAATTATAAATTTCAAGCCTATCTATTGGGCTATATGTTTAAAAAAAAAAAAAAATTAAAAATTCTATAATTAAATTCAATTACACATTATATTTCTTAAATAAATATATCAAAAATGTTAGAGGCCCTTAAAATTCTACCAAAAGTTTTACCAAATGTTTCGCATGGGTGTGGGACCCACATTGTGTGGGCCCCACACCCATGTGAGACATTTGGTAAAACTTTTGATAGAATATTTGGGGTCTCTAGCATTATTCTAAATATATTGACATCATCTATCTATACTATATATATAACCAAATGTAGTTGTTTTGTCAAAAGCCTCCAAATATTTATTCTTAAATTTTCATAATTTTAAAACACTCTCTTTCCTACGTGGCAACTTTCTTTGATTGTCTTTCATGTTTTCTATTTTTCTTCATTTTTTATTTGTTTGATTAATTAAAATTAAAATTAATTTCATTACTTATGGATAAAGATTTGAATTTCAAAATTCCTCCATATAGATAAACCTATAAAAATTGAAAATTAATTTTATAATCTACAGATAACGATAAAAAATAAACAATTAATTTCATAACTTATAGATAATTTAAAATTTCTTCCCAAAAATAAACAAATAAAAGTTGATAAATAACTTATAAAAATTAATTTCATGGCCTACAAATAAAGATAAAGATTAAATAATCGATTTTTTTTTAAAAAAAAAAATCAAAATTACTCTCTTTTTCCCCCCCTCATTTTGTACTTTAATTAATTTCATTATAGATAAACATATAAAATTCATAAATAATTTATCAAAATTTATTTCATGACCTATAGATAAAGATAAACATTTTAAAAATTATTTAAAAATAATAATTTCATGACTTATAGATAAATAAACATATAAAAATTGATAAATAATTTATAAAGATTAATTTCATGGCCCACAGATAAACATAAAGATTAAATAATTGATTTTCAAAAAATTAAAATAATAAAATTTAGATAAAGATATGATTTGTTAATCTATATATCTATCAAAAACATATATATCTAAATCTTTATTTTGATTTACTCATTTTTTTTTCTCCTATCACATATTATCTTTTTTTATTTTAAATTTTTTATCTTATGAAATGCTCTTATCTATAACTTCTTATCTCCTATTAAATTCTTAACCTTCTCTTGACAATTTTTATTATTGATTATTATCTACTAAATGATAAAGATTATTAAAAAAAAAAAATTATCGCTTTGAAGGATAATAGTATTAATAATGAAATAATAAAAGCTACATGGGAGAAGGTAGCACAAAAATCTCACAAAACTAATTTTCTTCACTATATTTATAAAAGGTAATAATTTGAGATTCTTTCTATTAGTTATTAAAAATAACTTGCATTAGATCATTGTTATGTTTTTTTTTTTATTTTTTTATAAGGCTGTCATTCGTTATAGTATTTCTTCAATCCCATCTCTAAATTCTCTCTTTGAAATTTTTGTTTTTTCAATAATTAAGTTTAGAATTAATTTCTTATCAAATTTGTTTTCTTGATCCTTATTTCATTGAAGGATCAGGCCGAATAAAACTTTTATATAATATATGAAATTAATGAATATAATACAAAGATGATAAGGAAGTACTACATATTTGTCAATATTTCTTTGTTATTATTAGTTGATTTGCCAGATTATACTATCAATTTAGAGCCCATATGATTCAATTCAATGCTCATGACTTTATTTGTGTTTGACCATTTTTTCGTTGAGTAACCGATATGATTTTTTTTTTGATGCATGATGATTAAAGCTATCATTTGTTATATTTTTTCAAATATAATTCAAATAATTTTTTATCATTTTTTTATAAATAAAATGGATTAAAACTATTCTCTTATATAATTTTTATAATACTATGACATTCTTATCTTGATTAATTTTTTTAAAATGACATAGGAACTATGCAAGTATTATTCAAACTATGGAGAATGATTTATGCTTTGATATGATATGAGTGTGTCATTGATAGAGGAAATCAAAGATAGAGAGTTGCTAATATAATTAATTAATGATTTGTTTGAGAAGTTCTTTTTATAAGCAAGGCAACAAACTTAGATTAAATATTTTTAAAAACTACTTATAAATTATAATTAAAAGTTGATATTTATTCATATTTTGATCCCACAATGATAATATACACAACTGATTTAAAAGTCTAAATAAATTTATATATATAGTATAGATGTTATCGAGTGATTGTGATACTATTATTCTCAACAATTTTTATAATTAATAATTTCTTATGCATATCAAATTTTATTGTAAAATTTTGTGGGTTAATTATTGTTAACATCTACCTAGATGGCTTAATATTATGGCTTGTCGCTATTAAGATATAATTTAAGATTAAGATGATTTATTTATCACACAAAATATATATAGTCTATTTTTCCGTGCATCGCACGGGTTACCACTAGTTATAAATTGAAAGATTGTATGTATAAATTGAACAATTTTTTAAATGAATTTAATCACACATCATTACAAATGTGAGTTTCAATAAAATCAATAAAAATAAAATCTACATCTCAAAAAAAATATTTTTTAATGTATTATAAATAATTAAATAATTAATTAATTTAATAGCCAGCTAGACTGGGTTGAAAGTAGGGGTGGGCATTTATCGATTTGGGCCGGGCCGACACTACTAATAAGAAATTTTGTGTTTACCCAAGCCCAATCTGGCCCAACCCGGCCCTAACATCGGGCCTTTACGTTTGCCCAAGCCTGGTCTAAAAATAATTATAAATTTTAAGCTCACCAATCAGGCTATATGTTAAAAAAAAATAAAACATTTCATAATTAAATTCAATCACATATTATATTTATTAAATAAATATACTGATATCATTATAAATTAAAAAATTGTGTATAAATTGAAAAATTCAATTACATCACCACAAATGTGAATTTTAATAAAATCAATAAAGATAAAGTTTAGATCACAACAAAAAATATATATTTTAATATATTTAATTAATTAATTTAATAGCGGGCCTAGCCAGGCTAAGCTGGGTTGAAAATATAAATTCCAAATCCAGTCTATTAATATATCAAGTTGAAAATATTGGCCCAACCTGTCCTTATGAGCCAAAATAACCTTCTCAAGTCCTAAAAAAATAAGGTTGGGCTAGGCAAACTAGGTGGGCCAACAGGCCGATGCCTATCCCTAGTTAAAAGTATAAATCCCAAACCCAACCTATTAGTATTTTGAGCTGAAAATGTTGGTCTAGTTTGACTTTCTGAGTTAAAACAACATTTTCAAGTTCTAAAAAAATATGACTGGACTGGACGAGTTGACCGGATTAACGCGCCGATATCCACCGCTAATAATAGCCATGTTAGGTTGTAAGTAACAACCATTTAAGTCCTATCATAATTGAAGACTACTTGGAGTATGACCTAATTTTATAATCAACACTGCTTTAAGACATAATCAAACAAAATAATGAGACAATCAATTTTGATTCAATAATTTGTCAGTCTCACCACCACTACCACAATGACTCATTACTTACCAAGGAAAAAAGTCAACTTTTTAGTTTATTTCAGTTATATTGTTCCTCGACTTTTTATTTATTTATTTTATATTTAAAAGAAAAATCAATAAGCCAAAAAAAAAAAAAATCATTTCTTAAAATAAGCCTAAATATCAGTGTGGTTTCTAATTAACACCAATTTGCACTATAATTTGTATATTATATACATCATAAAGTTTGTATAATTTATATCGACAATGATACGTAGCTCAAATTTTGTGGCTCAAAAGTGGCTCAAATGGCCAAAACGACGTCGTTTTGAGTACAGAACAACATAAAAATGGCCAAAACGACGTCGTTTTGGCCATTTAAGCCACTTTTGAGCCACAAATTTGAGGTACGAGACATTTTCCAATTTATATATAGTATACACCATAAAGTTTTGGACAAATTCAAATTAAGACGAGGGGAACAACCCCCCACCCCACACGCGCACACACGCACACACAAAAAAAGGATTTGACAAATATTTTAGCAAGAACATAGAATCAAGAGGAAATATGGTATATTTAAGAAGAATTTTGAAATGTT